CGCCACCAGAAGATCCTTGCTGAATCAAGTGCTGGTCACACGCAGCTACCACAGCGCTGACTGCGACACCGACCACTCCCTCGTCGCAAGCAAGGTGCGCCTCCTTCCCAGACGTGCCCACCACTCCAAACAGAAGCCCCGACCCCGTATAAACATAGCCAGAACAAACAAACCTGAACTGCAGGAACACTTCGCCATAGCCATCGACGAAGCCCTGGAGGGCTGCCCAACCGACAGCGCAACTGAACGGTGGAACCATATACGCGAGGCTGTGTTCCAGACTGCCCTGGACACCTTTGGTAGAAGAGAGAGGAAGAGCACTGACTGGTTTGAGGCAGGAGTCGCTAAACTGGAGCCCGCCATCGCTGCTAAGCGAGCCGCCCTACTTGCTCACAAGAAAGATCCTTCCACAAAGACACTCGTAGCACTCCGTGCTGCTCGAAGTGACACACAGAAGATCGCCAGGCGCTGTGCCAATGATTATTGGTTAAATCTCTGCCACAACATCCAACTCTCCGCAGACCTAGGCAACATGCGAGGGATGTACGAGGGCATGAAGAAGGCTTTTGGCCCAAGTCCCGTCAAAACAGCCCCACTCAAAACAGCCGAGGGTGAGCTCATCAAAGACCGCTGCAAACAAATGAAGAGGTGGGCTGAACACTATCAAGAGCTCTACTCAAGGGAAACCACCATCACCAGCACAGCCCTTGAGAACACTCAATCACTGTCTCCTATGGTCGAGCTCGACACACCACCCACCATAGAAGAGCTCAGCAAGGCTGTTGACAATCTAGCCAACGGCAAAGCACCAGGCAGTGACAACATTCCTCCTGAGGTAATCAAGGCCGCAAAAGGGAGCTCCCTCCTACAACACCTTCATGAGCTACTAATGCAGTGTTGGGAGGAAGGAGCGGTGCCCAAAGACATGCGTGACACCATGATCGTCACGCTTTACAAGAATAAGGGGGAACGGAGCGACTGCAACAACTACCGTGGCATTTCGCTCCTCAGCATTGTCGGCAAAGCATTTGCCCGGGTCGCCCTAAACAGACTGCAACTCCTCGCAGAACGCATTTATCCAGAGGCACAGTGCGGCTTCAGGGCCGCAAGGTCAACTATCGACATGGTGTTCTCTGTGAGGCAGCTGCAGGAGAAATGCCGGGAGCAGAGACAGCCCCTGTACCTGGCATTCATCGACTTGACCAAGGCCTTCGACTTGGTCAGCCGAGATGGACTGTTTGCCCTCCTCCAGCGGATTGGATGTCCCCCCAGGCTCTTGAGCTTGGTCGTGTCCTTCCATCAAGACATGAGTGGGACCGTTCAGTTCGACGGATCATGCTCAGAACCCTTCGCAATCAAAAATGGCGTGAAGCAGGGATGCGTCCTTGCCCCAACCCTTTTCGGCATCTTTTTCTCCCTGCTCCTGTCCTACGCCTTCCGAGACTCTGACGACGGCGTCTTCATCCACACCAGGAGCAACGGAGGTCTCTTCAACTTAGCACGCCTACGGGCAAAGACAAAAATACAGAGGGTGCTCATCAGGGAGCTACTTTTTGCCGATGATGCTGGCCTTGTCGCCCACACTGAAGCAGCACTGCAGCGACTCATCGACCGCTTTTCAACCTCCTGTGCAGAATTTGGTCTCACTATCAGCCTGAGGAAGACTCAGGTCATGGGCCAAGACGTCAGTAGTGCACCCAGCATCTCCATCGGTGATCACACTCTCGAGGTGGTGGACAAGTTCATCTATCTCGGGTCTACCATCTCCAGCAACCTCTCCCTTGATGCAGAGCTGAACACCAGGATCGGCAAGGCAGCTACCACGATGGCCCGTCTGACGAAGCGAGTGTGGGATAACACCATGCTCACCACCAACACCAAGATGAGAGTCTATCAGGCATGCGTGTTGAGCACTCTCCTTTATGGAAGTGAAACATGGACACTCTACTCCGTCCAGGAACGCAGGCTGAACACCTTCCACCTACGCTGCCTCCGTAGACTGCTCGGTATCACTTGGCAGGACCGCGTCCCCAACATCGACGTCCTGGCCAAGGCAGGGATGCCCAGCATGTTCGCCATCTTGTCCCAGAGACGTCTGCGTTGGCTAGGCCATGTCACCCGAATGGATGACGGCCGCATCCCTAAAGACATGTTGTTTGGGGAGCTGGCCACTGGCACTAGATCCACAGGACGCCCGGCCCTCCGTTACAAGGACGTATGTAAGCGCGACCTGAAGGCTGGTGGCTTCAACCCCTCTGACCTGGAGATAGCCGCCACGAACCGCTCCGGCTGGCGGTCCACCACCCGGGATATCGTCAAGGCGGCAGAGGATATGAGAGACGCCCGATGGGGAGAGAGGCGTCTCCGCAAGCAACTGTGGCTGCAATCGGCCCCACCATATACACGGGAGCCGGCCTTCACTTGCAGCAGATGCGGCAGACCATGCGGTTCTCGTATCGGCCTGTACAGCCACAGCCGACGTTGCAGCTCCCCTATTTAG